TATAACTGTTACTTCATACTATTTACAACAGTATTAAAAAATGTACTCTAAAATTTTGAACTTTCTGGAATTTTAATTCTCATAATAAGATGTAATACATCTTTAATTTTATAAATCAGTTGCTACATAAAATATCTCACACACATTGATTTTGGAATTGAAACAAAAAATTAATACCAGATTTTGGAACAAATGCTTATACATACAAATTGCACATAAAGTTGTAACTTTGAAAAAAATGAAATTTGACACTCAACAATCTAGAGTCTGAGCTAAAAGCTACTTAAAAGTTATCTTTTTCTTCTTGAGTATAATTAGTACACATTAATCTTTCCATTTCCTCAGTTCTTAAGATTAATTTCTGTTGTAAGGGTTTTAATAAAGTTCAGTTAAAGTTTAACTCAATAAACCCAGCTTCTGAACACATTCATTAACCACAAACCTATTTTAGTCAAATTACAATTAAATTAAAAATCATTCAAGCAAATTATAATTAGTTATGCATATTTCTCAATAACAGAAGCATATAGGTTTTCCCACAATCTTGAATTAATTCCTCTCTAAAATAGGGTGTGTGCGTGTTTTGGGGGGAGGATTTGCCTACAGAAAAAGAAAACACTACAAGTTCTTTTCAATGAACTCAACTGTATCAAGCCCTCTACGTGGCTTTAATAATAATGATGCCCATAATCTTATGTCATTAAATACAAGAAACCTGACTGGGTTTTACATTGTTATCTAAACTACTTACATGGATGTACAGATAAGCTGTAAAGCTATAAAACATTTGCTCTAAAAAGCACACACAAGTTTTCAGGTGGCATGGTGGTTAAGGTACTAGACTCCCACATGGTGGACTGTGGTTCAAGTTTCGGATTGGGAGGCTTGAAAATCACACCAGGTGCATGTGTGCCCAAAACCCCAGGAGGAGAAGAGATTGCAGCACAGCTCCCCAACCCCCCGAGGGATCATTCTCACTTTCCCTTTCATTGTCTCTGACTCTCTCTGGAAAGCACATGTACCCTATGGCAAAAAAAACTTCAAAAAAAAAAAAAGAGAAAACATATACAAAATGTTTTACTGTTCCATGCTATATAAAACAAGCCTTTTTATATTTATAAACTGAAAGCCATGATGTTTATTTTGGTAAGAAACAGTAAGGAGTGATTTTAGCAATGCTGGGTGTGAGAGAAGGGTTGTCCTATGAGGTACATTGAATAAAGCATTGTAAAGAAGTCTTCTACCCCTAGGTTGTAATTCTCTAGAGCAGTGTTTCCCAAAGGCTCTGAAGCAGGCACAACTGAGGCGCCTGCACCAGAACTGTCTAGCACTTTGCTAAAAATGCAGATTTCTCCACCTCACAGCTGCTGATTCAAAATCTCCAGAGGAAGGACTCTCAAGGTGCTCAAATGACTGTTATAAAAGCTCTGGTCTGAAAATATATTTTTCTTTTCTTTTCTTTTCTTTTCTTTTTAGGGAAAAATGTTTGCTATAGGGTGCATGCACTTGCCAGAGAGATAGAAAGTGTGAAATTACCCCCTCCTCCCAGAAGGATGGCCATGCCGCTATCTCTTTTCCTCCACTCTCCTCTCAGAGGTTTCGGCACACACACACACACACACACACACATGCAGTGTGGGTTTCAAGCTGCCAGGTCTGGGACTCAAACCACAGAAGCCACGTGGAAGTCCTGCACCTTAACCACCTGCTGGCCCCTGAAAATGTTTTTCTACAGTCATTATCTTTGATGTTAAACCACAATATCTAGATTTAAGAATAAGTTTCTTTTTAAAAAAAAATGGAATTCAGTTATTTATTTAATAGTTTTGCTATAAGGTGCATAAACTTGCTGAGAGATGGAAAGTAAGTAATCACTTCCCAAGTAATCACTTGGCCCTGAAGCAATCCCTTTTTCACTATTCTCCTCTTGGAATTGTGAGCACACCACACACACAAACACACACACACACAGGTCCCCAGCATGTTTTTCAAATCACTGGGTCCATGACTTAAACCACACAATTGATCATGTGTGACCCAGCTGCCTTAACCACACCATCAGCTGGTTCAAGAATAATTTTCAATGTGTACAAACTACATTTAGAAGTACAGGGGCAATGCACTACTTTATATCAAGAAATAAAAGATAGTTTTACAGACTCTCCATCTTGCATTATATATCATTTTAACAACAGAATAACATGGTGGGAGTATTGAGTAATGTAAAACAGAAGGCTGTGGTTAAGAATTTTTAAGCAAAATCAAAGTATATTAATTACAGATTTTTAATAAAGTATAATATAGGAATATAAAAAATCAGTATAAAAATCGAGTTAATAATATGTCTGGAAATTGCAGATGTATAAAGAATTTAGCACTTTTTGAGCTCTTAAAAAGGCATCAATCAATCTTCATGTATCAGGGCACAGGCATCTTAATCTGGTAGAAATCCCAAATGCCTCATTTCACAGACCAACTTCTATGAATCAGAAGGCTTTCTAGTATTAAAGTATATACGGTTTATTCTGCAACCAAATTATAAAAAACAGAAACCCTTGGTCAGGCTGTAGCTCAGCGGTTAAGCACTATGCACCACGAGCCAGGTCCCACAAGGCTGACTGCTGTGCAAACCCGGGTCCCAGCAGTTTGAACAACAAACCAAGTGCGTGTGTACGTGTGTACCCCAAATCCTGACGGGATGGAGTCACGGAGGAAGGGGGATAGGCAGTGTGACCATGCCCCACAGGGGACACGCTCGATAGCCTGTGCTTTCTGATGAGCGCATGTCCCCTCTGGCATTTTCTGACTTCAGAAAATGGAACAAATTAATATTCCAGCCCAAAGGTACATAAATTGAATCTAATCGTGAAGGAACATCAAACAAACCCAAGTTGAGGGATATTTCTACAGAATAACCATCCTACGCTCTTGAAAAATGTCAAATGAAAGATGAAAAAAAAAAAAAAACCTTAAGGAACTGCTCTAGACTAAGATAATAACTACATAGTAGTTTCTGAGCTTAGACTGGATCTCGACCAGAACACACAGGTGTGCCTGCATCTGCATCCACACCGACGAAACTGGAATAGACTCTGCAGATTAGTTACGTCATTGCTGATTTCCTGATTTTGCTCACTGAACTGTGACAATGTAAGAGAGTGTCCTTGTTCTTAGGAAATGGACATTGAAAAGCCTGGGAGTAAATGTTTCCAACTTCCTCTCGAATGACCCACAGAATACTGAGTAGAGAAGGGAAATGCCATAGCTAATGGGGGAAAATGTTAACAAGTGGGAATTCAAGAGGCGCTTCTAAGAGCGCTTTCTATTCTTGAACTTTCCTGCACATTTGAAATTATTTCAAAATAAGTGTCAAAAATGTTTGTGAAAGCTGTAACAGGAGGCTCAGTCAGGTGGCACAAGCAGTAGAGTATAGGGTAGCCTCACACCCAGGCCACATGGGAGACCTGGGTTCGGTTCCTAGAGCAGCCTAAACAGAACAGCTGCTGTGTCATGCCTGCAGTCTGAGCTAACTGGGAGGCCAGGCCAGAGAAGTAAAGGATTCCAACATAAGTCCTTGAGAAAAATACCCCTCCTCATAAAAAAAATTTTCGAAAAAGAAAAATGCTGTAACAGGCATACTAAAAACCACCTAAAATCATTAAAATACATTTTCAAGCTCCATATCAAGAACTGTCTATTTAAATATTTTGTAAATTTAGATGAAAAATATGAACAAACTGAATCTTAAGTTTTATTCAATGCCTTCATATTAGAAATTGTAAAACTGCATTGCTCTTTCTCATTCTGTCAATTATATGTATAGCCTCGACTACATGGAGGTGAAAGCAAAACACCTCGACACTTCTCACATTTATTTGAAAAAATATTTGAAATGCTTTTTAAAGAATTACTTATTTTTATTTATTTATTTATTTATTTATTTTTATTTTTTGGAGAGGTTTTCACTATAGGGCGCATGCGCTCACCAGACAGACAGACAGAGACAGAGAGACAGAAAGCGAGAAATCACCCCCCAGGGGGGATGGTCACGCCGCAATCCCTTCTCCTCCATTCTCCTCTCAGGATCTTGGGCACGCACGCACACGCACCTGGTGTGAGTTTTAAGCCACCGGGTGCAGGACGCGAACCGCGGTTGACTACGTGGGAGTCCAGCGACATAGCCATTACGCTAATTGCTGGTTCCCCTTATTTTTATTTATATTATTTTATTATTATTATTTAATTTTACTCATAAGAAACAGGGAGAAAAAAATGAGAAAGTAAGCCACCAGGTCCAGGACTTGAACTGCGTCAGCCATGTGGTGGCCCAACACCCCAACCACTAAGCCACCTGCTGGCCATATATGTTGCTTTTTTGGGGGAAAGAGGTTTTTGCTATAGGGCGCATGTGCTCGCCTGAAAGACAGAGACAGAAAGACAGAAAGCAAGAAATCACCCCCCGTGGGGGGATGGCCACACTGCAATCCCTTCTCCTCCATTCTCCTCAGGATCTTGGGTGGGCACGCAAGAGTTTATAGCCACCAGGTCCAGGACTCAAACCGCGGTCAACTACATGGGAGTCCAGCGACATAGCCATAACACCAACTGCTGGTCCCTCAAAATTTCTTGACTGATGTTTTTCAAATGTCCAAGTGTAGGGGGTGGAATTCAAAGTCTATTTGATGGAAGCGCTGACTTACTCAAAGTCACTGGACCTTGTGGAGAAATTTAAAAGAAAATGCAGTCACAAGAAACAAGCACAGCAGATTTGAAATACTACTTTCTAAAACCAAACTACCACTTAGCCCTGGGCTCCCTATACAGATGACAGTCTAGAATTGGCTGAATATAGAAGAGACTGAAGAGAAACTAAATCTAAAGTTGAGACGTGCTTCGAGTATATTAATATAGGTCACCAGTAGTTTAATATGTTTCCATATTTATTAAAGATAATCACAATTCCTATTTCATGATATTCCACAACTTGAGGAAAATCCGAGTATTACAGCTGCTTGAAGAAAGTACAAGTTGAATTAATGTAAAATTTTAGGACAGAATTTAAAGTATTTTCACAAGACAGGCATCTAGTAAAAGAAACATGTGATTTCTTACACTCTGTTACCCAAAGGGGAAAACTCCCTGAAAATGTCTTCCATATAAAAATTCAGGATGATGAAAATTGATCAAGTAGTGTAGGAGCAGAATGAACATTGGCATTTTGAGATTTAGTCACCTAATACATAGTGCTCATTAAAACAGCTACAGAGGAAATATTAACATGTAATGTTATAAAAGAAATAGCACCTTTAAAAGATCAAGTGAAAATAAAAGTTAGCAAAAATATTCTGAACCACAGATCTCTACATGGAAAAAAAATTGTAAAAGAGGTGGAAACACAAAACTAGGCAGTTTTGAAAAGGATAATGTTACATGTTGGTTGTAAAATGTAAACACAGTACATTAAACATTTGCCTAGGTAGCTACAGGAGGCAAAAACAGTTCCTTTTCTTTTAAGGCATATATTGTAACCTTCTTGCTACACTAGGTCAGTCAATCAGCATACTTTAATATAGGAGGGAAAAGTTTTCAAGACCTTAAGGACTAAAGCAGCAGGAAAGCATCTTCAGTGTATCATTTTATTATATTAAACACGGGGATCATTTTATTATAAGACTATTCAGTGAAATTCAGAATAAAGTATGTCTGCTTTAGTTCATACCTCAAACCTTTTAGTTATCCAAGTACCACAAAGGGCTTATTGTCACATGATTATGATAAGATATTCCCACAGCCAAGAGCAGTCTTTCTCACCAGAGTTCTGAATACATTATTTTTTAACCAGTGGGCCAAAGTATATACTGATATTCTTTCTAACCCCTTAAAGTCCTTCTAGATAAAAGGTTGTCCCTGAGTGATATATTCAAAAAAGATAACATAATAAGTATGCTTAGTGATAGCAATCATTTCAATGACTGAGAAATATTTTCAAAGAATATTTTCCAATCGTGAAACCTACTTGAGTATTTTTGGGTTTTTTAACGCTGCTACTTTATCTACATCAAAAGTTTTCTCATAGCCAATTATGCCCACACTTCTGAAAGTTGTCATTAATCATAAATTCTGCCTTATAGCCTGAAAAATAGATTGTGGGGTCAAGAAATACCCATACATTACTAACAAGTTACTATAATTGGGCATTTACTTTCATTTCTAAATATCACATAAATATCACTGGCAGGTATCATAATGTGAAATCATTAAACTAATTTCTAAATATTGACTTAAAAAGCTTTGAACGTATGTTGCAAAAATGTTTAGTAAAACATAAGTTTGTCCCCCACCCCACCCCAGGTAATACGCCAGCGATTTTCTTAATGACCAACACCTACCCTGGAATTGATACTATCTGCATAATTCTTGCAGAAAACAGATCTGGCACAAATATGAAGACAGATATTGGCAAAGGCCACATCTCAAGTTATATTTTAAGAAACAATACAATCCATGTTATTTCATGAAGTTGTTTATTCTTGTTATTAAAACTTGGACTCAAGTAATCTTGGTTATTCTGGAAAAAGCACCTTGTCTGTAGGGTTGGTTTAATCATCCTTTTCGACAATCACCTCTCCATGAAGCACCTTTCTTCTTTGACGTAACATATGAAAATAGAGTTGTGGAAACACTTCAGTGAGAGAAGGAAACAGAGAAAGACAGACAATTGCTTTAAGTTGTGTATACCCGACACCTGTAAAATGTGGCAAAGGTTGAGAGTAGTAAGTACATTACGCACCGCTGCCACCCCACACGTACAGAGCTCAGGTAGAGTACCTGTGGTGGCCCACGTCCCACATACCTACAGTCAACAAGTCTCAAGGCCATACATCGTTAGTGCTGTTTTGTCTGTCTTTAGCAAACTGAATTACCTTGATAGATATGGCTTCATAATGACCTGGGAGGTATGCTCGAATTTAGAATTCCGCAACTCTTTGGAAAATTGTGCCAGAATATTCCAATACAAGGAGAGTTGGCCCCACCTGGCTTCCTTCTCTCCTTTCTACTGGCTATAATCTGCAATCTGAGGGTCTCATGCTAGTGTGTGGGTTCCCTGGCCCACACATTCTAGCTTTATCCACACCCAACACCAACAGCTGCCCCCTGGTGGTCCTATGGTATGTCCCCTCAGGACAATGGATCAGGAAAGAGTCCTATAGAGTCCCTTGATGCACACTCAGTGCCATACAGGCAGCAAATCTCAGTCCCAGGGTTCCAGCTATGACCTAGAAGAGGATGGGGTGCTGTGTGGAGGGATGACCAGTGAAGGCCAAAACAGAGTCCTCTAAACAGGGCCCAGAGCAGAAGCCCTCCAGGTTGGGAGTAAGGATAGGTAGGTGGTCTATTGGATCCAAACACAGAAACATATGTGCATCGGGTCAGTCGGCCAACTGGTCATCTGACCAATCACATTTGGAGAATATTTTCAGCCAATGTGAACTAATACTTTATAATACTGTATAGATGTTGGTGGATGAACAAATTAACATCAGCTAATAAATATAATGAACCTTAAAATACCTCTCAAAACACGGAACAGGCTAACCAAAGCAGTGACCCTAATGACCAACTAATCACCAAACAAACATTAAATATCTTGGTTAGACAAGTAGGTAAACAGTTATTTTTAGAACTTAGCTCAGGGCAGGCCCTGTAGCCTAATGGTTATAGGAGCTGGATCCCACACTGCCAACCACAGCTTGAAACCCAGCCCTGGCAGCTTGAAAAATATACTGGGCACATGTGCATGAGTGCCTGAAATCTTGACAGAATGGAGAAATGAAGGAGAAGGGATTGTGGCATGATTACACCCCACTTTGGGGAGTTGGAAGGGGTTGCTTCCTTTCTCTCTGTCTCTCGTGGGTAGATACACCCTATAGTGACTGAAAAAAAAACAAAACAAAACAGAAAAAAAACACCTTAGCTCAAACAGAATGAATGTACAACAGGACTTGTTCTTTTTTTAATTAGATACTTCCTATTTCGATAAACGTAAACCATCATATTATACCTAGGGACCTAAGTATATTCAGGTCATATGTACTAACTGACCAATGACGTTTTTTTAAATAAATTTTTTCTTGTTTCATGAATTTTTTTTAAAGAATTTTCTTTCTTCTTTCCTTCCTTCCTTCCTCTCTTTCTCTTTCCTTCTTTCTTTAAATTTGACTAGAGAGGTACAGAGAGAGAGAAAGTGAGAAAACAAAGCCACCAGTTTCGAGACTCAAACTGCAGTCGACCGTGTGGGAGTCCAGCGCCCTTAACCACCAAACCACCTGCTGGCCTAACTGACCGATTATTGTAACTACTTCTATAAACTTTTGAGTAGTTGGGCCAGCAGGTAGTGCAGGGGCTAAGGTGCTGGATCCTACATGGCAGACCCAGCAGCTTGAAAACCCTCCCTGGTGTGTGTGTGTGTGTGTGTGTGTGTGTGTGTGTGTGTGTGTGTACTCCAAATCCCAAGAGAATGGCGAAGGAACCATGGCATGGCCATTCCCCTAGGGGGATGATTTCTCACTTTCCTTTTCTCTCTCTGGTGAATTTACACACCCTATAACAATTTTTAAAATGTTTTTTAAAATTCTGAGTAGTTTAGTAGATGGTACAGGCTTGAGTTCAAAACCTGACTTTTACCAGCTGGGTGATTTTAAGTAGTTTACTTATTCTCTTGTCTGTAATATTTTAATAGGTAAATGAGGAATAATAACTTTTTTGAGTACTAGCATAAGTACTTGAAAGGTACTTCTAATGCTTTTAATTAGTAAAGATATAATAAGCAAAGCAAAATTAGTTGATAGTACCAGTATCAATCCTGGAATGGAAGTCCACCCAGCTGACCTCCTGTCAGCATGGTGATCAGGGAGGCTGCTACTGGCTCAGGTCAGAATCTAGGTCTCCCAGGATGCCTGAACACACCCGTCCGAAGTTACTGGTTTGAAGCATCACACTATGATCCTTTGGACATTTGATTGCTGTGGAGATGTCGTAGTAGTCATGAGGAAGGGGGAACCCACAGCCTGAACCCGTATGACAGGACACCTTAGCAGAAGTGAGCATGCTCAAGGCACGTGATCACTAACTCGGTCTTGGAAAAGCAACAGCATGAATACAAGAGGCATGGATATCCTCCTCAGCAGTCTTGAGCTGGCTGGGGTGGGAAAATCTGATACAGAATTGGGCTGAAATGGCAGAAGAGGAGGAGGAAAAACAATCTCTGATCATGGAGTCAATTTTGATTTTGGAAAGGTTCCAAGTTCAAGACTTCAAGTCTGGGGCTGGCTAAGTCTCATGTTCATCCCCTTTCAATGTAATATTTTCTATGTTGTCAATGTAGATTTCAGATTCTGTGAATTCTTCTCATTTCCTTTCTCTCCCCTCCCCGCTGACATCAGAATCTCTACTCTTATGGAGAAGGATAAATACAAACTTTGCTTTTCCCTCATATGTACGGCAAGTGACTTAAAAAATATATCACTACTAGCAGTTAAATGGAATAAAGACACCCCAGTTCACTGCAAATCATGAAAAGTGATAAATTATGAAGCAGTTGAATTATTCCTAATACTTTAAGAAAAGCAGCTGTTGTTTTCAAGTACATACAAGAACTCAAGTTAAGACTTACAACGTGCTCCTAGATGATTTTCCTAAATATAGGCTTTATTAACAGATAGAAATCAGAATTTTTCTTGGCTCCAATTTTTACACACAGATGCATAATTCAAAATATTTGTAAATAGTTCACTAGTATATGCTTTCAACAACTTTTCTGTTTAAAAAAAATTATGTTGGAACTAGCAGATGGCATCATGGTTATATCTTTGGACTCTCACGTCATCAACCATGGTTTGAATCCTGGACCCGGAGGCTTAACGCTCATGCTGGGCATGTGTACGTGCATGCCTAAAATCACAAGCAAATGGAAGAGAAGGGTTCGTTATGTGGCCACCCCTCCCAAGGAGGGTAATTTCTGACTTTCTGTCTCTGTCTCTGTCTCTCTCTCTCTCTCTCTCCAGCAAACACATGTACCCTATAGTAAAAATGTATCTTATAAATAAATAAATCATACTATGCTTATTTTTCAGTGATTTTGAGCGAGCACTCATTTGTACATTGATTTACTTACCTTTTTTCCTCATAGCTAGTTAATAGTCTTTTGACTCACTATTCCCCCTTCAGTTATTCCAAATTGTGAATATTGGATTGCATAGAAGTTTTAATGTATTCATAAGCAGTTATTTCCCTGGCTTACTGAACTAGCTTAATATAATTTCCAAAAGCTTTCCCATCGTATGCTAACCCTAAGGACTGATAAATATATACTTACATGGTATATAGGAGGCCATGGTTATCAGAAGAAAATAATAATAGTCAAAAGAGACATTGTATTTGTTAGGAAGTCTTATGGAAAACATTCCTGTTTTCTTCACATAAGGCAAAGCGGCGTATATCGTAAGAAGTTCACCAGCAACTCCAACAGGATATAAGATGATAAAAAAATTATATCTGCAGAAAGAAAACCTCAGAAAATTATTTTTCTAGAATGAGATTCTATATCACAATTCTTTTGTTACTACTGCATTCAAACTTAAAATTTTTCTTTTCTATACATATTTATGAGAATTTCACATAAGAAGGTTAATTTTTCTATTTTAATCATTTATTTATTAGCATCCTTTTTTTTAAATAGTAGTTTCTATTTTAAAGGCAGAATTTTCTCAAAAGAATAAATCACCTCACTTTACAGTAATGAAATACTTTAATATATTTAAAAGTGTGTGCTTTTTTAAAAAATATTTTAAAGGTTTTGGTACATGGATTCACAACTGCCTTGTTCCCTGCTGCTACCCATTTATTGATCAAACAATTTGCTTAAAACGTCCAGTTATGGGGCTGGCAGGTGGCATGGTGGTTAAGGGCACTCCCACATGGCCGACCGTGGTTTGATTCTCAGAGCTAGCAGCTTGCTTTCTCTCTCTGCCTCTCTTTCTCTCTCTTACCCCCTCTCTGGTCAAATTAAAATAAATAGGTAAATAAATAAAATTAAATAAAATAATTCTTTTTGAAAAAAGTTCAGTTATGATCCTAATTTTATTTCTAAACTTTAAACTTATCAAAGTAGCCATTTGAAAAAGAATTTGAAAAATTCCTGTGGTTACTAACTAAAATGAATTGCTATTGCAGAAAAATGGTAATACTATCTAAAATATCAGGAACTCCTATTGGGTATATTGTCAAAAACTGCTTTTGCAACAAAACAAGCAAAACAAATTACTTCCTCAATTCTCACATTAAAAAAATAGTTAGCTTGCTTAAAATAGAACTGAGAAAGTTCCATTTACAATTCAAAATTACCATTTGTTCATTTGGCTAGTGGCAAGGTCACTAACCCAGAGTAGAATCTCTGTGCTCTAGGGGGCCATAGGTAAATGTAATGGCTATGTCGCTGGACTCCCATGTAGTTGACTGCGGTTCATGTCCCGGACCTGGTGGCCTAAAACTCATGCTGGGCGCGTGTGCATGTGTGCCCAAGATCTCGAGAGGACAAGGGAGGAGAAGGGAGGAGAAGGGATTGCGACGTGGCCATCCCCCCTGGGGGGTGGTTTCTCGCTTTCTATCTCTCTGTCTCTGTCTGGTGAGCGTACGTGCCCTATAGCAAAAACCTCTTAAAAAGAAAAAAAAAGAAAAAAAAGAATGTCTGTGCTCTACCTCTTTATAACAAGAAGGGCCTGAAGGATCCAAGCAGAAATGATTTCTTTATTAAAGAAAGTCATTTTTCTCCAAGTCAATCACTATATAATGGTTACTACAGAAAATTAAAGTCAAAATTTTGATGAAAAGAAAAAAGAAATGAAATTAATCTGTATTTTATTTAATCACTTTGTTGGCACTAAGAAACATCTGGAGTCAGCCAGGTGTGGTGGTTAAGGCCAACTGAGGAGTTTGAGTCCCAGACCAGGCTGTCTGAAAAACATACCAGGGGTATGTGTGTGTGTGTGTGTGTGTGTGTGTTTGTGTGTGTGTGTGTACATGCATGTTTCCAAAATCATGAGTAAAACTGGGGAAGGGACTGCGACATGGTCACACCCCTGAGGGTGCTTTCTCACTTTCTCTTTCTCTGTCTTTGGCAAGCGCATATGCTCTGTAGCAAATTTTTTTAATTAAAATATAAAAATTTAAAGAGACAGACATATCTAGCAGGCCAACACTTGGCCTAGGGTTAAGAGAACTGGATCCCATATGGCCAGCTGCATGGCTTCAGTCCTGGACCTGGTGACTTGAAAACATACTGGGCATGTGTGCATGCCCCAAGTCCCCAAGATGGAGCAATGGAGAAAGGACCATGGTGTGACCATGCCCTGTAGGGGGTTCTCTCTCTCTCTTTCTCTCTCTCTCTCTCTTGCTGACAAGTGCACATGCCCTCTGGCAAATTAAATAAAAAGTAAGAAAAAAGAAACAGCTACAAAGAAAAGCCGAAACTGTCAGTACTGAAGAAGCTTGGAAAGAACTTAGCAACCATCTTATCCCTGTGTGTCACAGATACAGGATGAGAAGAAATGGAGGAGGGCAGAAGTATTTTACAGAAATAAAATATTGAATTATTTTCAGTTTTCTGAAAATCTGAATCAAAAAAAAGAGGAGCTGTTAAAAAAGACGAAGAACAATGCTTTTACTATATGTTTACCCCTTCCTTGCCTTGGCTATTCTTCCTGCTTTCTTATCAGTCCTGTGTAGTTATTTATGTATCACTTAAATCACT